GAAACATAGAAATTAAAGTAAATATTAGTGTTGTGGTCATTTGTGTCTGTTATTGGAAAAAGCAAAACAGATATAGCTCTCATGAGGGCAAAAAATGCAGGTGCTTCACGTGTGTCCACAGGCAGTTGTATTTTTTTCTAATTAACCCGATCCTGCTGCCACTGAAATCAGAGAGTTTTGCTGTGGACGTCAATGAGGGTAGGAGCTGATCAAAACACAGCTTTTCAATCAGAGCTTTTCAAGTGATGTCAATAAAGCTAGACTAATTTCTACCAGCTGAGGAGCTGGCCCAATATTCAAAAGTACAAGTTACAAGCAAGAGGGGACTGTTGTAGTGCTCCCGGATCCTTTAGCACCAGGGTTATTAGTTTCTATTCCTGTTTCATATTCTACATATATCTCCAGCTGTTGAATCAACAGCTATTTCATCTGTCCTGTTTTCTGAAATGCCACCCTTCTTTCTTCACAGAATTTCTTTAGCCTAGATAGACATTAGCAAATGTCTATTGTAAATGCCTCCTGATATGTGTCTGTAAGCAAATCCTGCATAATTGTGCTTAAGCATAGTTATGCTTAAATAGTTTTTAAAATACATACCCTAGTTTTTAATAGTTAATAAGTAATGGTGTGTAAGAATTCAGAGGAACAGCCGTGTTAGTCTGTATTCGCAAAAAGAAAAGGGGTACTTGTGGCACCTTAGAGACTAACCAATTTATTTGAGCATGAGCTTTCGTGAGCTACAGCTCACTTCATCAGATGTTTACCGTGGAAACTGCAGCAGACTTTATATACACACAGAGAATATGAAACAATACCTCCTCCCACCCCACTGTCCTGCTGGTAATAGCTTATCTAAAGTGATCAACAGGTGGGCCATTTGCTGGAAATGGCCCACCTGTTGATCACTTTAGATAAGCTATTACCAGCAGGACAGTGGGGTGGGAGGAGGTATTGTTTCATATTCTCTGTGTGTATATAAAGTCTGCTGCAGTTTCCACGGTAAACATCTGATGAAGTGAGCTGTAGCTCACGAAAGCTCATGCTCAAATAAATTGGTTAGTCTCTAAGGTGCCACAAGTACCCCTTTTCTTTTTGGTGTGTAAGAAATACAGGACCAGTGGTGCAAAGAGACCAGGAAGCTGCTTTTAGTGGGTATCTGAAGATTTCTCGTGCACAAGAGAATCTTTGGTTGACATTACTAGCTCTACAGCAATGCCTATCTACCTCCACCTCCAATTTATAGGGTATGTCATTAGTAAAAGGGCATCCAGTGATCTTGCCAGCATTAAAAGCATCTTGGGGGCTATTATGATTGAAGAAACAGCATAGGATTTTCCTCAGAGTCAGGGACAAATTGTGCCTTTACAGCCTGCCACCTCAACTGTTTCCATCACTTATTGGGTATAGCTGGGAATTCAGGAATTCAAATCATTATATTTAAATTTACTTAACATATCCTGGAAAGCTGTCTACTGAAAGGCTACTCAACGTCATAAGTTTTCTCCCTTTTGGCTAACCTGCAACACACAACAGTCTGTAGATTCTCAGGTTGTGAGAAATACTCCTACATTAATGCAACTGTGCATGAAATTTATAAAATAATAATATACTACTAGGAATAGATGACTAGTAATGAACTGTATCATTTAGTTTTACAATATAGAAACTGTCAAAATATGAATATGACTCCAGTGGAATTACTGTCAAAATATGGACTCTGGATTTAAACTGGTGTACCTGAGATCAGAATCTGCTCCACATACTGTATTATTATTATTTTATTTTATTAATAAGCATAAATGCATGCTGTAAATGCACACAATTAAATGATTACAAATAGGTTTTCAAATCTGAATGTTCTTTTGATTATTATTTATGTTACAGTAGCACATAGGAGCCACTGTTACGGACCAGGACCCCATTGTGCCAGATGCTGTACAAAACTAAAGCAAAAAAGGCGGTCCCTGCCCCAAAGAGTTTACAATGTAAGTAATCTAAATATCAACAGTGCATAATGTACATCAGTGCTTCTGAACCTTTCGAGGCTACTGTACCCCTTGTAGGAGACTGATTTCTCTTGCGTACCCCCAAGTTTCACGTCACTTAAAAACTACTTGCTTACAAATCAGATATAAACATACAAAAGTGTCACAGCACACTATTACTTAAAAATTGCTTATGGTCTCATTTTTACTATATAATTATAAAATAAATCAATTGGAATATAAATATTGTACTTACATTTCAGTGTATAGTATATAGAGCAGTATATACAAGTCATTGTATGAAATTTTAGTTTGTACTGACTTCACTCATCCTTTTTATGTAGCCTGTTGTAAAACTAGACAAATATCTAGATGAGTTGATATACCCCCGGAAGACCTCTGCGTACCCCCAAGGGTACATGTACCCGAGGCTGAGAACCACTGATCTATATTGCAGACAGAGGACCTACACACAAAAACACAACAGTAAAGAACTGGTTTTGGAGGGATATGGGGGAGGGTATAGTCAGGGGTGAAAGTAGGCTGGTACGGGCCAGTACGGCATACCAGTAAAAAGCCCCACCCCTTCTGCCCAAGGCCCCGCCCTTTCCGGGGGCCCAGAGCCGGGCCCCATTACCGGTAAGAGTTTAATATTACTTTCACCCCTGGCTATGGTGTTCATTATGCCAAGTTTCAAGTTCCCACAGAAATAGCTGATTTATAAACCTCTAAAAATAAGAGTTCATGATAAAAACTCTGACAAAACCTGAAGTATTGCAGTGGAAATGGTGTCACTGTAATATAAGAGAGATTAATGTATATTTCCCTGGTAATACAGAATATATTTTTTCTATGCATTTATCTCAGTAAATACACAGTAGGGCTCAAAGTGCAGTAAACTCAATGTGAAGTGCAAAATTAGGGACTAATTTGATTATATACTTATGTGGAGAAAAAAACTTAGATAGACCATTAAATATATGCTGAATGCAATATTGTATCTGAGATTAATGTAATGTTACTAATGAGACTAATGCTTATGCAAGCACAAGCAGCAGCACTGGCAGTTTCATTAGTTTCTAAAACTTCTTTCAGTTTGAATATTTTCATGCCATAATACAAATATCAATCATAGCACAATAGCCAAGCAATAATCAAACAAAACACTGAAATACCATGACAAGGAATGGTGCTGCTGACTATATTGGGCTGTGTAAATGTGAGTATGAATTAAACATACTATCATCATTCCACACAAAAATAAACATTTAAAGAACACTATCAAGTTTGAAAAGCTAGAATTCTTTTTTGTGGGTGATTTCCTAGGCTTTTAAAAAAAGCAAACTGAAAACAAAAGAAATGCCATCATGTGGCATCAGGTCTGGATGGGGGTATGTTCTAGTATAAACAGACTCTTCTTCCTGTTCCCCCAAGTTTGATCCCTTCTGCTTCATACCCTCCAACCTGTCCCTGTCCCAGTCATGTCTCTTCTCCATAACTAGCTTCCTTTTTCAGTCTGTTTCCTTGTCTACCCAGTCCCAGTTTCCTTGCCCAGACAGTCCTCACATCCTACTCTTAGCTCACTGTTCATGTCCCAGTTCCCCGTCCCCAGCTCCTAGTCTGACCCTTCCCCACACCCAGCCAGTATCAGCCCTCACACCCCTGCTCCTTGTCTGATCTGTCTCTACCCACTTGCTTCCAGTCCCAGTCTCCCTATCCAATTCTACTGTCCCTTCATGTCTCCCTTGCTTTTTGTTCCAAGTCTCTCTTCTTAGCTAGTCCCAGTTCTTCCCCCATTCACCCTCGTTCCTTGCCAGATCTGTGTCTCCTGCCCCCCATTCCCTCCTCACTGGTTCTTAGTCCCAATCTCCTTGTCCCACCAGTCTCCCTCTGCCCCTCAGGTCATCATCTGACCTCAGTGTACCTCCCCAACCAACTGGCTCCCAGTGTCCCAGGCTCAGGCCCCTTGCCCACTCAGTCCCCGCCTGCCTTCCCCCAGCTTCCTGTCTCCTTGCCCAGCCAATGAGATAGAATCTTCAGGAATTTGAACTGCTAAAATAGAAGAAACCTCTGCTGACCATGTGCAAACTGTGATTTTTTTTTAAGACTTATAACTTGACCAAATTTGGAACAAGAAAAGGCACATCACCGATACATAGGCCAATCTCCTACCAAATTTCAAGCCCCTGCTCCAAAGTGTAGGGGTACTGTAGTACTTCAAAGAAGAGGTCTCGAGAATTTTTTAATATGGGCAAAACAACAAATTTTTTACCTAGCCTTTTTCTTGCAAATGCTAAATTGTTTTGGATGAAATTTTCCAAAAACATTCAGCCTGAGGCAATTACTGAGCATGAAAAATTCCATCCAAATGGTTAGTTTCATAAAGTTATAAACAGCTGAAAACAGAGTCTTATAACTGGAAGTGTAGACCAACTTTACAAGGCAGTATTACCAGCCCAACCTATAAAACTTGGTGTAGGAGAGAGGAGGAAGTTATCAAGAATCCCAAATACTCCCTGAAATGGTAGCATATGTGGGAGCACCCACAGATAACAGTAATAACATAAGAGTTATATGAAATAACCAACCCATAACCAATGCCTGATAGAAGTAAACATGCAAGTATTCCAAGACTTAAACTCACAAACACATCATTAACCTTCAAAATACTGAAGACCAAAGCATAGGAGTAAATAATATCCAAATATTAATCATATAGTGTGATGTACCACCTGCAGAAAAGCACACAACTCCCACTGATGTCAGTTAAGTTGCATTAGCCCTGGTCTACACTAGGACTTTAGGTTGAATTTAGCAGCATTAAATCGATGTAAACCTGCACCCGTCCACACGATGAAGCCCTTTATTTCGACTTAAAGGACTCTTAAAATCGATTTCCTTACTCCACCCCTGACAACTGGATTAGCACTTAAATCGGCCTTGCCAGCTCGAATTTGGGGTACTGTGGACACAATTAGACGGTATTGGCCTCCGGGAGCTATCCCAGAGTGCTCCATTGTGACCGCTCTGGACAGCACTCTCAACTCAGATGCACTGGCCAGGTAGACAGGAAAAGAACCGCGAACTTTTGAATCTCATTTCCTGTTTGGCCAGCGTGGCAAGCTGCAGGTGACCATGCAGAGCTCATCAGCACAGGTGACCATGATGGAGTCCCAGAATCGCAAAAGAGCTCCAGCATGGACCAAACGGGAGGTACGGGATCTGATCGCTGTTTGGGGAGAGGAATCCGTGCTATCAGAACTCCGTTCCAGTTTTCGAAATGCCAAAACCTTGTCAAAATCTCCCAGGGCATGAAGGACAGAGGCCATAACAGGGACCCGAAGCAGTGCCGCGTGAAACTGAAGGAGCTGAGGCAAGCCTACCAGAAAACCAGAGAGGCGAACGGCCGCTCCGGGTCAGAGCCCCAAACATGCCGCTTCTATGATGAGCTGCATGCCATTTTAGAGGGTTCAGCCACCACTACCCCAGCCATGTTGTTTGACTCCTTCAATGGAGATGGAGGCAATACGGAAGCAGGTTTTGGGGACGAAGAAGATGATGATGATGATGATGATGATGAGGTAGTAGATAGCTCACAGCAAGCAAGCAGAGAAACCGGTTTTCCCGACAGCCAGGAACTGTTTCTCACCCTGGACCTGGAGCCAGTACCCCCCAAACCCACCCAAGGCTACCTCCTGGACCCAGCAGGCGGAGAAGGGACCTCCGGTGAGTGTACCTTTTAAAATATTATACATGGTTTAAAAGCAAGCATGTGAAAGGATTACTTTGCCCTGGCATTCGCGGTTCTCCTGGATGTACTCCCAAAGCCTTTGCAAAAGGTTTCTGGGGAGGGCAGCCTTATTGCGTCCTTCATGGTAGGACACTTTACCACTCCAGACCAGTAACACATACTCGGGAATCATTGTACAACAAAGCATTGCAGTGTATGTTTGCTGGCGTTCAAACAACATCCGTTCTTTATCTCTCTGTGTTATCCTCAGGAGAGTGAGATATAATTCATGATCACCTGGTTGAAATAGAGTGCTTTTCTTCAGGGGACACTCAGAGGAGCCCATTCCTGCTGGGCTGTTTGCCTGTGGCTAAACAGAAATGTTCCCCGCTGTTAGCCACAGGGAGGGGGGAAGGTTGAGAGGGTAGCCACGCGGTGGGGGGAGGCAAAATGCGAAACGAAAACACATGTTTTGAAAACACTTGTAACGAAAGCACATGTGCTATGTATGTAATGTTAACAGCAAAGTTTACCCTGAAAGAGTGTAGCCACTGTTTTATAAAATGTGTCTTTTTAAATACCGCTGTCCCTTTTTTTTTCTCCACCAGCTACATGTGTTTCAATGATCACAGGATCTTCTCCTTCCCAGAGGCTAGTGAAGCTTAGAAAGAAAAAAAAACGTACTCGCGACGAAATGTTCTCCGAGCTCATGCTGTCCTCCCACACTGACAGAGCACGGATGAATGCGTGGAGGCAAATAATGTCAGAGTGCAGGAGAGCACAAAATGACCGGGAGGAGAGGTGGCGGGCTGAAGAGAGTAAGTGGCGGGCTGAAGACAGGGCTGAAGCTCAAATGTGGCGGCAGCGTGGTGAGAGGAGGCAGGATTCAATGCTGAGGCTGCTGGAGGACCAAACCAGTATGCTCCAGTGTATGGTTGAGCTGCAGCAAAGGCAGCTGGAGCACAGACTGCCACTGCTGCCCCTCTGTAACCAACCGCCCTCCTCCCCAAGTTCCATAGCCTCCACACCCAGACGCCCAAGAATGCGGTGGGGGGGCCTCCGGCCAAACAGCCACTCCACCACAGAGGATTGCCCAAAAAAAAGAAGGCTGTCATTCAATAAATTTTAAAGTTGTAAACTTTTAAAGTGCTGTGTGGCATTTTCCTTCCCTCCTCCACCACCCCTCCTGGGCTACCTTGGTAGTCATCCCCCTATTTGTGTGATGAATGAATAAAGAATGCATGAATGTGAAGCAACAATGACTTTATTGCTTCTGCAAGCAGTGATTGAAGGGAGGAGGGGAGGGTGGTTAGCTTACAGGGAAGTAGAGTGAACCAAGGGGCGGGGGGTTTCATCAAGGAGAAACAAAAAGAACTTTCACACCGTAGCCTGGCCAGTCATGAAACTGGTTTTCAAAGCTTCTCTGATGCGTACCGCGCCCTCCTGTGCTCTTCTAACCACCCTGGTGTCTGGCTGCGCGTAACCAGCAGCCAGGCGATTTGCCTCAACCTCCCACCCCGCCATAAACCTCTCCCCCTTACTCTCACAGATATTGTGGAGCACACAGCAAGCAGTAATAACAGTGGGAATATTGGTTTCGCTGAGGTCTAAGCGAGTCAGTAAACTGCGCCAGCGCGCCTTTAAATGTCCAAATGCACATTCTACCACCATTCTGCACTTGCTCAGCCTGTAGTTGAACAGCTCCTGACTACTGTCCAGGCTGCCTGTGTATGGCTTCATGAGCCATGGCATTAAGGGGTAGGCTGGGTCCCCAAGGATACATATAGGCATTTCAACATCCCCAACAGTTATTTTCTGGTCTGGGAATAAAGTCCCTTCCTGCAGCTTTTGAAACAGACCAGAGTTCCTGAAGATGCGAGCGTCATGTACCTTTCCCGGCCATCTCACGTTGATGTTGGTGAAACGTCCCTTGTGATCCACCAGAGCTTGCAGCACTATTGAAAAGTACCCCTTGCGGTTTATGTACTCGGCGGCTTGGTGCCCCGGTGCCAAGATAGGGATATGGGTTCCGTCTATGGCCCCACCACTGTTAGGGAATCCCATTGCAGCAAAGCCATCCACTATGACCTGCACATTTCCCAGGGTCACTACCCTTGATATCAGCAGATCTTTGATTGCGTGGGCTACTTGCATCACAGCAGCCCCAACAATACATTTGCCCACTCCAAATTGATTCCCAACTGACCGGTAGCTGTCTGGCGTTGCAAGCTTCCACAGGGCTATCGCCACTCACTTCTCAACTGTGAGGGCTGCTCTCATCTTGGTATTCATGCGCCTCAGGGCAGGGGAAAGCAAGTCACAAAGTTCCATGAAAGTGCCCTTACGCATGCGAAAGTTTCGCAGCCACTGGGAATCATCCCAGACCTGCAACACTATGCGGTCCCACCAGTTTGTGCTTGTTTTCCGAGCCCAGAATCGGCGTTCCACAGCATGAACCTGCCCCATTAGCACCATGATGCATGCATTGGCAGGGCCCATACTTTCAGAGAAATCTGTGTCCATGTCCTGATCACTCACGTGACCGCGCTGATGTCGCCTCCTCGCCCGGTATCGCTTTGCCAGGTTCTGGTGCTGCATATACTGCTGGATAATGCGTGTGGGGTTTAATGTGCTCCTAATTGCCAAAGTGAGCTGAGCGGCCTCCATGCTTGCCTTGGTATGGCGTCCGCACAGAAAAAACGCACGGAATGATTGTCTGCCGTTGCTCTGACGGAGGGAGGGGCGACTGACGACACGGCTTACAGAGTTGGCTTCAGGGAGCTAAAATCAACAAAGGAGGTGTCTTTACATCAAGGAGTATTTCAGGCAGGACTTCACGGAGGGTTCCAATAAGAAATGGTGCACCTAAGTTATTGTTCTTATTGGAACAAGGAGGTTAGCCTGGCCTCTGATTGATACATGGCTAGATTTACCTCGCTGCACCTTCTCTGTGAGTGACTGCAGTGTGACCTAGAGGAATGAGTCCCCTAGATGGGGGAGGGGGGGAAGCAAATGAATACAAAACAAATCTGGTCTATTTCTTGTTTTGATCCACTCCATCTATCTTTTACATCTTTGGCTGGCAGCAGACGGTGCAGAAGGACTGCATGCCATCCACATCTCATGGCTGCTCGGCAGAAGATGGTACAGTACGACTGCTAGCCATCCTCATCTCTTGCCTGCCCGGCAGAAGATGATACAGTACGACTGCTAGCAATCCGTATCGCCTGCCTGCTCACCATAAGAGGGTTCAATAGGACTGACTGCAGGACTAAAGAGAATGACCTGGTCAAGTCACTCCAAATTTAGTCCCTGCGCCCATGTCTGTCTAGGCGCTCCCAGCCGACATGGCCAGGAGCACCTCGGACATGACGATGATGGCTACCAGTCGTATTGTACTGTCTGCTGCCACAAGGCAAGGGGTTGCTGCTACTGTGTAGCAATGCCGTACCGCGTCTGCCAGCACCCAGGATAGGGTGACGGTTACCTGAGCGGGCTCCATGCTTGCCGTGGTATGGCATCTGCACAGGTAACTCTGGTCTATTTCTTGTTTTGATCCACTCCATCTATCTTTTACATCTTTGGCTGGCAGCAGACGGTGCAGAAGGACTGCATGCCATCCACATCTCATGGCTGCTCGGCAGAAGATGGTACAGTACGACTGCTAGCCATCCTCATCTCTTGCCTGCCCGGCAGAAGATGATACAGTACGACTGCTAGCAATCCGTATCGCCTGCCTGCTCACCATAAGAGGGTTCAATAGGACTGACTGCAGGACTAAAGAGAATGACCTGGTCAAGTCACTCCAAATTTAGTCCCTGCGCCCATGTCTGTCTAGGCGCTCCCAGCCGACATGGCCAGGAGCACCTCGGACATGACGATGATGGCTACCAGTCGTATTGTACCGTCTGCTGCCACAAGGCAAGGGGTTGCTGCTACTGTGTAGCAATGCCGTACCGCGTCTGCCAGCACCCAGGATAGGGTGACGGTTACCTGAGTGAGCTCCATGCTTGCCGTGGTATGGCATCTGCACAGGTAACTCAGGAAAAAAGGCGCGAAACAATTGTCTGCCCTTGCTTTCACGGAGGGAGGGAGGGAACGGGGGCCTGACGATATGTACCCAGAACCACCCGCGAAAATGTTTTAGCCCCATCAGGCACTGGGATCTCAACCCAGAATTCCAATGGGCAGCGGAGACTGCGGGAACTGTGGGATAGCTATCCACAGTGCAATACTCCGGAAGTCGACTCTAGCCTCGGTACTGTGGAAGCACTCCGCCGAGTTAATGCACTTAATGCACTTAGAGCATTTTCTGTGGGGACACACACACTCGAATATATAAAACCGATTTCTAAAAAAACGACTTCTATAAATTCGACCTTATTCCGTAGTGTAGACATACCCTTAGTGAGCTGATAGCTAAATTTGCTTCATGGATCCTTGGGGATGGATCCTGGAAATCTTTACAATGGAGTTTGTTCCTGCAAGCACTTAGTTAGTAGTCTCTACTGAAGTCAATAAAGATACAAGCGTAAGAGCTTGCAGGATTGAACCCTTTTTGAATAGTATATACTCATACAGGTTGCCCCATTGAAATCTAGCAGAAATATTCATGGATATAGCTATTTAAAAGTAAATTTTAGACTATTTACATCAGAGACCTCATTTTAAGAGTTATGTTCCTCCAATCAGGAAACGGAAATAATACCATGTGATCTATCTCACCAGTCAAAACTAACCAACTCAGCTCAAATTCCACATTTTGAATAACCCACCCCTGCAATGTACTGATCATGAGCAATCTGCAGACCAAGAATTATTTACAGAAGTTATTCACTGAATTTCAAATTGCAAATAAATTCAAGAAAATCATAAACTCTGATCATTTTGTAAAGAGAAAAGGATAATAATGCCATTATATAAACTACTTGCTCAGCTTTTGTGTGTGTAAATAAAATATATAAATAATAACTGCTGCAAAAGCATCAAAATAAGATTGTAGGATATTGCTCGAAGCTAAAGGCTGAGAGCACTGTGCCCATTTGAAACAACAATTTTTCTTTTAACACTTTTGCCTCTATAGCCCATTACTATTTGTATTATGAGTATTTGGACTTCGTTTTATGCACTTAAGTTCTTATATGTTTAGATTCTGTTCCCTGTAAAACAGATGAAAATGTTGAGTAACTCCTTTGAAATCATTGGCATCATTCCAGATTTATGCTGGTGTGACTGAGAGCAGAAATTGTCCCAAGGATTTGAATACATGAAGCCAGCTTCACTGAGTAAGAGACATTTGATCTGCCTATAGGGAGGAGAAGTCAGGGCAGCTGGCCAGCCTTTCACTCCAAGAGGTGATTCCAGGTTAGTCAGCAAGCTCCCTTTGGCCATCAGAAGTCATAAGAGGTAGCCATTCCCTTTCCCTAGTGGGAAGTGTTAGGAGAGCCAGCTGGCTTCTCTTTCAGGAGATTCAATAGCTCCTCTCTCTATATATATATGTATAACTAGAGAGAGAGAGAGATTTCTTGCCCCGGGCTAGCTTCTTAATCCATGGCTGACGTTATTTGCAGTGTGTGTGTATATATAAATCAGTTATGTATCAGTTTATATAGCCCTTACTTTATTTATATTAGGATATAATATAACCTATTACTCAGTAAAGTGGAACAAGAAAGGAAGACATCAAAAATATTCTGCTAAGTACAAATAGCTGTATAGTGCAAAATGCGAACATCAGACTATTCCCCAAATGTGCAATTACAGGCAGCTTCAAAGAGGGGAGAAACGCATTTTTAGCAAATATATCATACTAGATTTATATTGTCTTTGCTTAGAGGCAGTTTGCTTTTGCACAGACGTATCAAACTCCTGTTGAAGGGACCATCAACCAGGGTTTGTTACTGATCACTAGGAGCCATAGGCATAGAGGGGAGCAAAAAAGAAAGGTACAAAAGTGTGAGGTGGTATGTCTCCAGCATGCACCTCTCTCCTTCTGGGAGAATGAGGGAGTGTCTTCACAGCAACTGACCCTTCTCCCCAGCAAGAGCTCGATGGCTGGCTCAAAATGGCTGGTGGGCCAGATCCAGCCCATGGGCCGTAGTTTACCCACTCCTGGTCTAGGCTCTACAGTTCAGGGAATATGTG